ATGGTTAGTGGTTGGATACCTGGCAATTGCTAAAGCCTAGAAGGAAAAGTAGGCAAAAAATTTGAAGGCCATACAGAAAGTATGACTCTGTCTTTCTAAAGGGAAGGAGGAATCAGTACAGAAGTAAAACTTCCATTTTATACTTAATATATTACATATCTTTTCTGCTTACTGAAGTAGTGGTGGGAGATTCTTTAAAATGTAAAGGGAGGCTTAGAGAGAGATCTTTGTAGTTAATTTTGAACATGATCTTGTTCTACTTTTTCTTGTCTGCTGCAATATAAATATGACTTGCAGTTGCAATTGTCACCAACTGCTAAAATACTGTGATGTGACTAGATTTGTTTTGGGGAAAAATAGTAAACTAAAAGGAGGAAAAATACTGATGCTCACTGTGAAATAAGTTAGTTTCTAGGAAAGATGTTAAACTTTTTTTCCGCTCTCAAAATGGTGACAGAACAATTTTTAGAATAAGATTTAAACAGTTACCATTGCACTTCTAGTCTTCACAGTGCTTCCTTTGTTGTAAATTATGCCAAATTTGTTACTTTTTAAAGAAATCAGTGTCATATGTATTAGTGTACTGAAGGCAGGTGTACTGTATGTATTCATGCACCTTCCTAGTTGGTAGGGTAAATTATTAGTTGTATTCTAGTTTGTAGTAGTTAAATTGGTGGATAATGGTCTATACGTTATGGTAGTACATAATTTAAAAATCTAGTAACTACAAAGTATGGATATTTGCCATGTTGATTGTCCTTAGTGCAGTGTTCTTTTTCATTATAGTGGTATATGAGTTATATGAGTATGAATCTACATTAGTAATATGTATTACTTCTGAATCTACATCCTAACATTTGGCTTCTAAAAGTAACCCTTGCCCTTCTCCCATGGAACTTTTCTGAAAATGCACCAAGTAGAGATCCAAAGAAATCCTGAAACCAGTAAAACTCTCTTCTATCAATTATAAAATGCTTTGACCTACATATTGTTTTGAGTGTAAGAACCAGGGTTTTACCTGCAATCCCAGTGTGGTTCTTAGACACTTTATCTAAGGAAGTGTAGAGGAATATAGAATTAAAAGAAAGTTTATTCTTTGGAGGAACACTGACCCTGGTGTTCTCTCATTTAAAACCAACCAACCAAAGATTTATGAAAAGGTATGAGGTATTGCTGTAACTAAATATTTCACTGATAGTTCTTTTAAAAAGAATATAGCTCCTAAATCAAATTAAGATGCTAAGAAATTTCATACCATAATGACATAGTAAGAAACAATGTTAAAGGACAAGTTTTACAAAAGAATAACGTTTTTGTAGTTTATCTGAAGCATTTAAAAAGTCTGCCAGTAGCAGCACTGGTGACATTTTGACTTGAGAATGTTAACACAACTGAGTAGACACGTGTGTGTTCTGTTATGATACTCATGCATCTGAGACCCATGTGATGCTTCCTTCTCTTTTCTGAATAGTTCTTCCAAAGTACTTTTATTAAAGAAGTTTGTTAAATGTTTAGGGAGGAAATGGTAGACCTGAATTTTTTAATACAATGGTTTCTGAAGTAAAAAGTTTAGTTAGAGTTTCTACTTATCATGTTGTCAAGTGTGCTTCAACTGCTTCAAAGTTAAAACCCACAAAATTCTTAGTCTGCTTTGTGCAGAAATGTTTGTCTCCTTTTTGCAGAGTTAAAATTTTGGCCATCCCGCATAATCTCTTGTGATTTAGGCTTTTATTTTGCTGAACCTGGAATCACACTGAGAGGACATGAACAGAGAAGTGTTGTGTGAATTACAACTAAGTAAACATTGTCATTGGGATTTATCACTGAACAAGATAGAGAGCCTACCTTTGATTTAGACTGCAGAAGTTACCTGACCTCAACACAGAGAGAGGCGTACAGAGGCAAGCAGGCTTAAAATTGCCCTTCAAAGGCTACAAATCTTCTTAATTCTTTGTTAGCACAGTGAGCTAGTAGTAGGGGTAAGTACTTCCATAATCTTCTATACCATCTGATTTAGTATGAGACTTGTACTCTGGGTTGCTTATTTGCTAATCTTGGTAGTCATAGGTTTTAACCTCTTTCTGCTTTTCTCCAACCAGCACAGCAAGTCTGCTGCCTTAAGCCAATAACTGTATTTTACCTCTTTTTCTCTCTTCTCTACCTTTTTTCTCCTTGCTACCAGTTCTTTTCATTTTCTGAAGAATTTTACCCTTTATAATAATCTTAAAAGCATACAGGGAAAGGAGAAGTTAAACACATGCAGTCTATCTAACCAGTGAGCTCTGTGGTCCTATTAAATAAAATGTTTATTTATTTTTGCCAACTCTTAATATATTGTTACCATCTCCAGCCTCCTCATGGAGTGCCTCTTTGTATAAGCTGCCTTTATAGTCAAGTAGGCCTCTACTTATTAAAAAAAAAAAAGAGTAAACTAGAAATAGGAAAAAGTGTAGATATTTGTGTTGAACTAGGTTGTTAGTAGTTAAGATGGTCATCTTAATAAATCAGTGAGTATACGCTAGGTTTGAGTGTAAAAAGTTTGAAAATAAATTCTCTAAGTATATAAAAGTGTTAAAGGAACATGTCCCCACTTAACATAGCAGAGAAAGATGCTGTGTTTTAAGAGAAGCTTAGTCTGGAAACAGCATGTGCCCTGAAGATGCTGTATTGCTGTACAGGAGGTCATCTTACAGGAACAGAGAGATGGTGAAAGTGCAACTTTGCCTCTGCATTGCTTCAAGGTCAATTAGTGAAGAGAGAATACCCAGCTGCACTGTCATACTCAATTGGACAGAAAATTCAGTTAAGAGTTGTGACTGCAAAAGGAAAATGCAATTAATGCTAATACAAAAATCAAGTCTTTATGAAACATTAGGCTGAAATATACACAAAACTATTCATAATTTGGGAAATAGGGATATAGGAATAAAGAAATTAGACTGTGTCTTCAGGAAGCATTTTTGGGATGTGTGTAAAAACCAGGACTTGGCAATTCTATGTATTGTTACAAATAAGGCAAATTCCTTGGCTAATGAGGATATGCTGAACCCAGATTATCCATAAAAATAAATACATTTAACTAATAGCTGTGAAGGTAATTTGTGTGTAATATTGTTGCTGGATCCTTTTCGGCAGCAATTTTTAGGTCCCCTGTATTCATGTATCCACCTGAGGTACAACACAAGTTACTGATCAGTTCTTTGCTATTACACAACAATCCTATCAACTTGAAATGGGAAGATATTAAGTTGTAGGTGAACAAATAATACATCTCAAAGAAGGGGAGGTTTGTGAACAAATAAAATACAAACAGATAGATTTGTGTTTTGAAACAGAAGGGTGAACTGTCTTAAAACACAAACGCTGAGCTGACCTGCAGCAAGAACCATTCTGCAGCAGATGCAAGCCAGCAAACTGCTGATCACATTCCGAGGTAGATTTTGCAATTTGTGTTGAAATGAGAACTGGCCCCCTGTGCAAGTGTGGTGCTGCTTGATATAACTGACGATTTAGTAATCCCAGGCAAGTCTAAAATTTTAGTCTTCTTCATTGTCTAATCATCTCTGATTCACTGAATGGTTATGGTAATGAGCTTCAAATAGAAATTGTTTATACTTTTGTTTCCCTTACCTTCTTTTATGGGAAAGGTTAAATAACCTCAGTGTTTTTTCTGCATGTGATGTTCACGACTTCATCTACTTCTGTTATGCTCACTAAATTCACTTCCACTCCAAACAAAATTGTGTTAATCTTTTAAATCTTTCCTTGTATGGATGACTGTCTCTGGCTTTAATCTGTTTATGCCATTCTCTGGTGCTTTTCTGTGTCTGATATATCTTTTTTTAGATGGATGCTGTTAGTGAGCACATCATTTCTAGAGAGGTCATGCCATACCCTTATGTAATGGTATAATATTTTAAACCTGCATTAAAAAGACATGGTTGTGAACATCTTTCTTATGTTTATTCTGTCTCTTACACTGACTATAGTAATTGTTAGGTCTTTGTTTGTTGTTTTTTTTTTCTTTTTTCTTCCCCCCAGTAGTTTCAGTCAATTTAAATCTCATTACTCAGTAGTAAAAATTTTTGTTCAGAATGTATGCTCTTGTCTTCTGGTGGTTGCTCTAACTTCCTGGGAATTGGAGGCCCTTTTGGAGCCATTCCCTTCAAGGTGATGTCTGTAGCATGTGCTGCTTCTTGAGGTGGTGACCTTCTCCAGGTCTTTTACACTGCCTTTGAAAGCTGTTCTTACTCAGGTTACTTAGCTAGATCTTGCCTTTTTTTCTCCCCTCTCTCTGTCTCTTCCCCAAGTTTGTCCTTCTCTTATTATTTAGGGTACATAATAAATTGCATAGATTCTCATAATGGAGAATCCTTAAACTTTGCCTTTTTTTGGGTAGCAGGGTTTCTACTTTAGTGAGACCATGTTGGTAAGGAGACAAAAGATGACATTTAGTTTCCCCTTCTTTTTAAGCTATCCAGGATTTTTGCTGTTCCTGGTCAGTAGTCAGTCTACAAGCATTGAGATGACTCCTTGAGAACTATGAAAAAGAAGTAACTGGATGATGTATATTGTTACTTAACTAGAAAGGTGCCATCTGATATAATAGGTTGAAGGTAGATGGGTATATAGGCTGGCATGTGTTTAAGATACAGGAGTGTGGGGAAAAAGGGCTGTACAAGTACTGCAAAGTACACATCATAGATGTGAGCAAATATGAGAAGAGATAATATGTGAAACATGGCAAGACTGATGTTTCAAACTGGAGCACAAGTTATGCAATATCCTAAAGACCTGTATAATGTGGAGGAAGGTTTTTAAAAAGTACTATCTTGTTTTAGAATGATAGAACTTCAGTCCCTCTTAGATAAACTTTCAGTTTTAGAGGACTTCCATAATTTCATGGCACCAGGTAAATTATATAAGTGCATTTTGCCTTTATAATTACTGAAAGTATCTTAATGTTCTTGAGTCATAGGTTTTAAAAGTGTGATAGTGGTATGGAGATGATAAGACCAGCTAATTTTATTAAGACCTTGGCCATTCTTCCAGAGAAAAGGTGATGAGAAATTTAACTCTACATAAACATAGCTGTAGCTCTTTGGACACAGGAATGCAAATGTACACTGTTCATTTAAAACAATATTAATAAGTTGTTGTTTTGTTTCTATAGGTGCATCTGAACCTTCTTTTATTGCTAAAAGTGAAGATCGTTTGTTTAAACATTTATTTGAAGACTATCAGAGATGGGTTCGTCCCGTGGAACGCTTGAATGACACCATCAAAATAAAGTTTGGTCTGGCAATCTCTCAACTAGTAGATGTGGTATGTATAGGAAATAAGTTTGGTTTTTTTTTTTTTCTAATTCTTAACATTTTGGAACAAAATGTCATGTGAAATAATTGTTCATGTTTTAGCTTAAATGCAATAGGTTAAACCTCTAGAATAATTATCAGCATAATAAAAAATGCATTGTAGTTGGAGGCATGAAGAAGTGATGGCAAAGAGGTTAAGAAGACAACCTTATATTTATGCTCTTGTATTTAGTGGAGTTTTCACAAAAAAACAAGTGAGTGAAATTCCTAAGCCTAGAGAGTTGTTTTAATTTATTTGTTTAATGGGAAAACCATGTGTTTTTAAACTTTATCAGTCTCATTTCTGTAAAATGCAGCAACACTTGCAAATACTGCTCTTTTTCCTCCTTAAGCAGCGAAAAAGACCTCTAAGCCTTCACATGTGTCACTTCCATAATAATGAAGATTCTCTCTTGGCTTTACCTGAGATGTAAAACAGATGAACCAGGTTTTCCTCCCCCCACCAGTTATTTACTCTCTTCAGCATATTCATTTAAAATTTAATTCAGTGTTTATAGCTACAAGAGGAGTTTTTCCTGCTACATGTTGGCTATTCCTTTATGTTTCCATAGAAAAACAGTAAGACTGCATCAAATACAGTTGAACAAACGTATGGAAGAGAGGAGAGAGACACAGAAGGGGAAAAATACAATGTGTAACTGTTATATAATCAAATATAATTGTTTGTTTAAAAAGTTTTCATAAAACATACTTAAAAGTGGCTGGAATGCTTTTAGAAGTGTGTTTTAATATTTTAAGTTTTGTATTTTAAACTACATTTCTGTGAACTAATGCAGCTAGTTACTATGAATGTATTATGCAGAGATTTTTCATAAAATATGCTTTGCTTTTATAGGATGAGAAAAATCAACTGATGACAACAAATGTCTGGCTGAAACAGGTATGAAGCTTCAGAATTTTCATCAGTATTTTGCATATAGCTGCATGTCAAGTCAAAAGAAACTTTTCTACTTATTGTGTAGTCTAAAAAACTTAGGTTTTGCATGAATTTTTATTTTACATAATATCTTTAGAGTTGTCTCTTGAAATGCTTCAAAGGATTAATTGTCACAAAACTAAAAAAAAGGTAATTTAAAAAAACTTACTTTTAATTAAATGAAATCTGAGGTGGCATTACATGGCCATTTAATATACCAAAGTGTGTGTATCCAACCATAAAAGTTACTGCTTCAGGACATAAGTTTTCTTTCAAAAACCATACTAAGAAATGTATGGGTTTGTGAAGTCTTTGGTGAAGAGTTTTAAGATCCTTCTTTTGTGGGGTATTTGAGATTATCACATAAACATCACTGAAGAATTTTAAAATTCTGTATGCTTGGTATAACAAGGTACTTTTTCTTCTCAAGAATATTAGTTTATGGGCAGGAAAAGCCTCAAGCTTTTTAATAATTAGAGTCCAATGCTAAACTTGGTGGCTACTGATAACTTGGGAAATCCTGCTCAGAAATTATTTTTTATTTAACTTTGAAGAACGTTTGCAGACCCTGATCATACTGACTAGCTTATTAAATTATTTTTGTTCAGCCTGCTTCCTGTGTTCTCTTTTTTTTTTCCTGTTGCATCCCATTCCCTCCTTCTCCAGTAACTGTAATTTCAGGCAAAGATGATATTTTCAGGAAAACTTTGAAGCTACTCAGCAAGTATGAGCTGGCAACATGTCAGTGCTAACACTTTGGGCCTTCTTAATAGTTTCTCCAGAACTTGTTGCAGTTGAACCAGTTCAAATAAAATAAGAATTCACATGCATATGCTTTTAACAGTCTATCTGCTGGTGAATTCTTAGAAACTTGCATTATTTCTGGGCTTTTATAGTTGAAGTATAAAATTACTGAAGTACTGCTGTGCTTTTCACGGGGCTGTTTTTGGTGTTGCTGACAGAAATAGGAGCAACTATCTTGTGAGAGTTGCAGCATGATTTTTTTTTTTTGTGAAAAAAAGTTTTAATTCCTTCTGATCAGTTTCCAAAGTAATTAATATTCATTCAGAACAAGCTTTATTTCAGATTTCATTCCCTTTCATAATAGCTCTTGTGCTCTGAAAAAGGATTTTGAAGTTCTGTACAGAAATACTGTAGCTCTTATAGCAGAAAACAAATATTTGATGAGACAAATAGATGTCTGTTCAGTGAATTCACTGTTGTATGCAAAATTTAGGAACCAATTCGGGGTTTTTTTAATTGCTTTATCTATATTCACCCAGTCTTGCCCTTCTTAAATTTACTTCACATTAATAAAGATTTTCACATCTTGCATATCCACAGGAATGGATAGATGTAAAATTAAGGTGGAATCCTGAAGACTATGCTGGAATAACATCTATTCGTGTCCCATCAGATTCTATTTGGATTCCAGATATCGTGTTGTATGACAAGTAAGCTTTTAATCTTTTCATATAAAATATGTTTTCTTTCTGTTTTTACTGTCCAAGCTGGTGGGGGACTTGTTGGATGGATTATTACAGCTAGTAGAGCTTAGAATGTGTGGAAAGATTTGCCTCTGAACGCATCAGTTTTGTTGCCATGTTAAATGCTTAAATGTTTTGCTTTGTTTCTGTGTAGAATTTATCATTTATTTAAAAAGTTCATTTACACTTTGTGTAAACTCTGATTAGAAAACAGTGTCTTGCAGAGTGTTGTCTAAACACTAACAGTGTAGAGAGATGGGAGGGATGCAACTAATTGATGCTGTTGAGGTTGATATTTTTTGAGAATTAACAGGTGTAAGAAGCCGTAACAGTGAATTAATTGTTCTGCTCGACTGAGGTGCATATACAGTATTTTTACATGTCCTAATTTGTTGAGTCAGGGAAAAAGGCTGTGGCAGTGACTGTAAATACAAGTTTGGGCATGGCACATAAGTATTCTTTTACCTGTTTCAGGACTTTTAGTCTTCAGTAATTTAAGATTTGGCCAAACTGAAAAGCATTTGTGCTGTATTCCCAATAGAAGCACCAGAGCTTGGTCAGGCCGGTGAAAGGGCAGTGTTTTACAATCCCTTGCGTGTCGTTTGGACCACAGAAGGTTGCACAGATCTTTTTATGGCTTGAAAACACTCTTCACTCTTCAAAAACTGTTTACCTGCATGAGATTCAGATTAAAAACAAATAATAAAAACATGAAACCCCAAAACTTGACTATGAACACAATACAAAATTTGGGCTGTGAAAGGTGAGAAGGGATAAAAAGCTGAAATAATAACAAATAATATTTTCTTATTTAAAAGACACCCCCACACCCCCTCCATTGTAATTGCATGCATGCATCTCTCTTCTTTCAGTGCAGATGGACGTTTTGAGGGAACATCTACAAAAACTGTGGTAAAATATGATGGCACAATTGCTTGGACTCCACCAGCAAACTACAAAAGTTCTTGTACTATTGATGTAACCTTCTTCCCCTTTGACCTCCAAAACTGCTCAATGAAATTTGGTTCCTGGACTTATGATGGCTCACAGGTTGATATCATTCTTGAAGATTATGACGTAGACAAAAGAGACTTTTTTGATAACGGAGAATGGGAAATAGTGACTGCAACAGGGAGCAAAGGAAATAGGACTGATGGATGCTGCTGGTATCCTTTTGTTACATATTCATTTATTATCAGACGCTTGCCACTTTTTTATACCTTGTTTCTCATTATTCCTTGCATTGGGCTTTCATTTCTAACTGTCCTTGTCTTCTATCTTCCTTCAAACGAAGGTGAAAAAATCTCACTCTGCACTTCAGTACTGGTATCTTTGACTGTTTTTCTTCTCGTTATCGAAGAGATTATCCCATCATCATCTAAAGTTATCCCACTCATAGGAGAGTACTTGGTGTTTACTATGATATTTGTGACCCTGTCCATTGTGATAACTGTCTTTGCTATCAACATCCATCATCGCTCTTCCTCTACACACAACGCTATGGCCCCTTGGGTTCGCAAGATATTTCTTCACAAACTTCCCAAGCTGCTTTGCATGAGGAGTCATGTAGACAGATACTTTCCTCAGAAGGAGGAAACAGGAAATGCAAATGGCTCAGAGTCATCCAGGAACACCCTGGAAGCAGCTCTAGATTCGATCCGATACATCACGAGGCACGTTATGAAGGAGAATGAAGTCCGTGAGGTGGGTGTGTTACTCTTATCACACTGATCTTCTGAAGCTGGGAGTTACAACACCTAGTCATGGTTTGCTCTGCAGCTGTATATTAAATATGTGCTATGGGATTTCCGGTTCTTTGCCTTCACTGGAAGCTATGTAATTTTCTGCTGGAAAGAAGTGCAAGTATGGTACAATGCTGAGAATTCTAATAGTACTTTAAAGTCTTTTGCTTTTTTCTAGGATTAAGTTCATGTTGTTAATGACATATTTTCAGAGCTCCTTGTCAGTTACAAGAGCTGTACTGTAACTGTTATCTCCAGTGCTGCTGGATGTTATTTTCATGAGAGAATTAGGTATTTTTCATTTTAATGTTCTATCTGAAGGCTTTCTGAAGAATGCGTTTGCCTTGCATTTCAGAATAAATACTGCTAAACCTTATTTTGCACTTCAATTCTCAATAAAAATTATTTTTAATGCCCTAACTTGTATTAGTTTAAATACAAGCTATAGCCATATGTTGGTAATTTTATGTTGAGATTTAACATGGACTAGATGATGTCTTGAGTGTTCTAGCCTTATTATTTGTCTCAACATCATATCAAAAGATGTCACCGTCTCCTTTTTCAGTCTGTACATTTGCAGTCTGAACTATCATTAGTGGATATTTACACCATTTGAGTAAGAGCATTATGAACCTGTTTTCATTCCATGCTTCTTAAACTAGCACCATTGGAACATCAGAGACTTACATGCTATTTTCATGCTAGTGTAGAAATAAAGAAGTTTGTTGTGTGGTCTCATGATACTGCTGCCTGCATCTGATGGCAAGGCCTGGGATTCTTTCAATTTATACAGAAATTATTGTCTTCAGAAGTTGCTGGTTGCTGAGAGCACGTTCTCACATGCTGGCCTGGGAGTAAGTAAGCTAACTGCTTACTCAGGACTCAACTCTGACTTACCAGAAGGGATCTAGCCTAGATTTTTAGTAAATGTATCTACTGTACTGATAAAACAGCATCTAATACCCCTGCATTGTATAAATACTATAAATAGAATGGTTTGCTGTTGAATATATAATTTCCTGTAATTTTAGGGTTGATGTTCTTTCTCTTACTGAACTTACTGTATTTGACTGTGAGTGACAAGAGAGGTGGTATCTTGTTTTTCAGGTGTCATGTGGTTGTGACTCTAAACCTCAGAAATTAAAATACAGCTGTCTGGGGATCCACTTATATTTTATCTTTTGGGGTCCAGAGAATGCAAGCTTTAATTGAAAAAAGTTGTTAAAAATGACACAGCTAGTGCTGCTGTAGCCTTACATCTCAGGAAGCAGTAGGTGTGGGCGGTATGGACAGCTCCAGTTCCAGTCAGAGACACTTGTTTGGCACGGCTTTGATTTGCTTGGACAGTTCTATCTGCTGTACTTGCAAAACTGTGTATAGATATGAATAATCCAATCAAAAAGGAAAATAATCTTGAAAATACTGTGAGTATTCTCCCTGGTGTATTACTCTATGCAGCAGTAACCTCACCACTTTCTGATCTTGTATATAATGGAACAGCTGCTCTCTACTGTAATTAAAAAAAAATAAAAATGCTTTGTTGGGGCTTTTTTCCTACAACTTTTACTTCTAGCTCCTGTCTGGGTATTCCGCCTTATGATGAGGCTGAGCCATGAATCTTACATCCTGAAGCATGTTAGAAAACTCCATACTGATTTTATCTCTGCAGATGAGGATGTCCGGGGCTTTTCAGGGTCAGTTTATGCATTAAAAATCTAGTATTGGTTTCTATAGCTTACCAGTCTTTGTAGAGGGAAGTATGTTCCTCTTCTAGCTCATAGTGTAATTATAAAAAGTTATTAAAGGGGCTTACCTAATGGACCTGAGTGAAAACAAAGTGCATTGTAGAGTGATAAAGAATTGCAGGGCTTGGTACTGTGTTCTTACCTGTTCTCACACATTCTAAACAACTGTTATGCTCTGTGTTTTTTAGGTTGTTGAAGACTGGAAATTTATTGCTCAGGTGCTTGATCGAATGTTCTTGTGGACTTTTCTTCTGGTTTCAATAATTGGATCACTGTTGTTATTTATTCCTGTTATTCATAAATGGGCAAGTATAATAGTTCCTACACATATAGGCAGTACAAATGGATAAAAGATTTTTGGACTTGTCTCCTGCTAAAATGGCTCCAAGGAGTAGTTCTGTTTCCATACACATTCTCTGTAGGCATGTTTCTGATAGAAATAAATCCCAAACCAGAAAATTATGTTTATATTAAAGCATGGCATCCCTAGCACACATAGAAGTCAGTTTGCTTCTTGCCAGTCTACTAAGTTGCTTCTAAATGAGATCAGAATTAAAAGGATCTTCTCAAGCACTTGCATGTCAGAAAAGCATATGCTGACACCTACTGCAAAATAGAAAGATTTAAACGTTTTGAATGATATCACTATAGTCCAATTATTAAATTATTATATAAATTGTCATACTGAGTATTAGATACTTGTCGATATTTACACAGTACAGTTGCTTATTTCTATTTACTGTAGTATGCAAAGGAGAATTTTTATCAGCTCTCTTGTATGTGTTGTAAAAGTGTAAAGTAGCTACAGGACCAATTTAAAGTAATAAGAAGAATACCAGTTAAACTTCCCATACATTCAAGATTTTAGTAAAAATAGCAGTTTGGTTATGTTTTGCCTTTAGATGTTTTCAGTGGAATTTGCTGCTAAGTTCAAAACCTTGTTAATTATATCATACTAACATGAACATTTAATACAGTAAGCCTTAAAATGTCTACGGGATACACATGTAACAGGATGTCTGAATCAGCTATGGCAAGGAAGGCAAAGACAAATGAATGAGTTCCCAACTAGCATAAGTATTTGCATGGACCACAACATTCAGATTTCTTTATTCCTGATGCAGAATATGATACAGTGTTAGTTGCAAACGTTAATAATTCAAAGTAACACAGAAATGCAGGAAATTAAGTTTTTAAGCACAAGTAGAAGGCATTTGGGCAATGCCTCTCTGAAGTAAATGAGTTGAAAATTATTATCCTGTGTAACCAAAGACAGATTATTAAATTTTCACGCAGTGTTAAAACACAACTTACAAATCTAAATATAATAGGTTTTCTCACTTACAGAACCTGATGTAACTGAGCAGCAGAGACAGCTTTCCATACTCCTTTTTTCTGAGTGTTAGAAGCTAACTTGCAGCTTTCTAATTATTCCCTTAAAATATATTATTTCAATACTGATTTACATTAATTCCAATGCCACCTTTCTTAAAGCTTTATTTGTGTAAGAGACTCTAAAATAGTGTTTTTCCTACACCACAGTTTTGCCAGTGTCATTTGTAACATAGTTGCATCCTGCAGGGCTGATACAGTCATGCCAAGCTAGAGGACGCCTTGGTAAGTTTTTATTTGCTTAAATTACTACATTAATAATAACATACTTACTTGAAAAGTTTAATGTAAATTGCGGTAGCTTTTATAATGGGAGTTTTTATAGTGGTTATGAATTTGGGAACCAGGTACATTTTCTCTGTATCTCCTCTAGAACAGCACTGTGTGGCACTGAACTGATTAGAATACTGATTGCACAGGTCATAACTTATCTATTGATTTCAAATTGTTGTTACCTGTAGGACACTCTTGGTTTTCTTTAGCTTTTTAAGGCTCACAGGCAGGGAAATTATGCCGCAAAACTCCCAATTTATAAATAATTTTGATTGTAAAGGGAGTCACTCTTCACTTATACAAATACATCTGGCATTGGATATTAATATTTTCTCTATTCCCATCATAATTAATTGTAAAGGTAACTCTGCAAAGATTATCCAATTTAATCTATGAATATACTAATTTTCACTTTCTCAGTATGACTTAAGATTAAACAATGCATCAGTGAGTTTCTTTGTGTGGAAGTTACGGAAATCCTTCAGATATCTTCTTTCATTTTCAAATGCAAAATGTCTTTTAATAGTCTTCCTTGGATTTAAATTACTGAAATTTACTCTTACCTGAAGAGAAGGCAAAGTCAGTAGAACTATAGATTAGTCTTGAGGCTCAGTTGGCTGGATATATCTGTATAGATATTTTATTTGCCTTAACTCCCCATCTCATCTTTTCCTCCTAGTTAAATGATGTCTGTAGACTGCCCAGTTGTACCACGTGATGGGCAGTGATTGAACAGAGTCCCATTCGTTACACTAGTAACTCCCAGTTTTTGCAAATGCATGAATTTTAGTCACTTCTACAATCTGATCAAGATAAATACAAATAAGACAACTGACATTAGAATCTTTGGGGTCGTCAGCTTATCATCAGGTGTGTCTGAAACAAAATAATTCTAATAGGCTTAGAAGCATGGACCTTTACTTATGTAACTTATTTCTGAATGTGTTGAACTGTAGCTAATGCTACCTTACATAGGTTTTTGTCACTTCATCAAAATAAATGAAAAAAAAAGCACCGTTTTCAACAGCTTGGTTCTCTTTATTTTCATAAATGTTGCATCACTTGATACACTGTCTTTCCAAAAGTTTCCAGTTTGGTACAGAGAGAACAGTTCCTATTTTCACAAAATACTTTCTCATTACAGTATTTTGTTGCATTGTTTTTTCACGTTCTTAAATTACCTGCTCTTACTGATTTAAAAAAAAAAAAAAAAAGTACACCTAAGAAGAAATTTTAGCATACTCTACAGGACTATTTTGTGTCTACCTGCCTTCCCTCACCAGGAAACACTTTGCTGCAGCAGGATGCTTCTGTATCCAAACCATCCTGTCATTGATCCTGTGCATAACCTGCAGGCTGCATCTTAGTGTGTGTTTTATTTATACACAGTTTTAAACATAATAAGGTATGAACAAATTGTTTCTTCTGACAGTCTTCTCATACATTGAAATATGGGAATGCAGAGAGTTTACATGATGGCTGCTTTATTACCATTATCTGTTGTTGTCCTGTTTGTTTTCCTTTTGTAATAAACCTGCCTTTGGTCCATTCCTCCCATTATTTGAGTCGGTTTATACACCAGGTGACAATTTCTGCATCCCACCAATTTGTTATCTGTGCTTCCTAAACCGTTTCATCCTCGTGAGGGTGTTCACTGAACTCAGTATGAACTTCTCAGCATGAACTTCTCAGAAGATCCTGTCATGGTCTGAAGACACTTGGCACCAGACTCATGGAAACCAGTCTAGTAGTCCAAAAGACCTCTGTCGTGACTTTCTGAATATTTATGTCATTTTCAGTTTCTTTATTGACCTTTTCTTAAACCATCCTTATAAAGTTTAATGTACTACCCACATCTTTTCCAGTTACTGCAAAAAGTAGCTGTCAAGCATAGCTCATATTCTTTTGATATTAGCTTTCATAAAAGTTAACATTTTTTTGTCTTCACATTTTTAAGAAAGCCTTCTTGGTCAAGCAAAGTTGAGGCCAAGAGAGATCCTGATTCTACCACACACAGAAGAGACATCAGGTGCTGGGTTGAGGGTGCAGAGTTGGTTGGCAGAAGTTTTATTTGATTTCACAACATACTATTTAATCTTTACATGTCATCTCCAGCCATCAAAGGTTGTAAAAACAATCCTGCTGTTCCTAGAATACATACCAGGATGAAAACCCAGAGAAAAATACGATCGATTACCATGGCAACGTATTTCCAGTCGTCCTGAATCTGAAAAACAAATTGAATAGCAAGTAGGCATGTTTATTAGATTAATAACTTGCATTAGCAATTAGTACATTTTCTGCAGGAAGCACAGTCCTTTTACATATGTAGGTTTCCTTCATATACAAACAACTAAATATCTCTCTGTTCATTGGAAAATTAATTAATCGTGAAGAAGCTTTATTTGAATATGCTATTTGTGGCAAAGCCAAAAGCTGCTACTTCAAATGCAAAAAGTCACTGGACCTTATAAGATACAACTTCTCTTCTGTGTGCTAAAAATGAAACTGAAAAGCTTTATGTCCTTAGGTGATCAGGTTTGTTCAGAATACTTTACTGAACCAGACTGCTTCTGCTTGTCTTTAGGCAGTATGTAAAAAGACAAAGGTTAAATGGTATATAATTGGTATGTTTCTTACATAGTACTGAAATTTGATTGTTCTCGTGCATGATGTAAAATTAATCTTATCTTCTAGGTAGAGTTTTCAAAACACAGATGTTTTTCTAATTTTTTTTTTCTTTCAGTGAGCATTATAATGAGAGTGGCATGGAAGTATTAGACGTGTTACATATTAATAGTAACTATCCTAGGTGATCATTTTAGTTACTCTTGAGATTAAATTTAAAGTTTTACTTAATTTTTCTTCAGGAAGGCTAATAAATGAATAATGCATTTGTAGTTTTTGAAATGTTACACTGTTAACAACAGAACTTGATTGTTAAGACACACTTACCAAAACCAAAACAACCTCCTGGTTTTCTATACCAACTAATTCTAAATGAAGTTCTGGTCTCAGTATAAACAAAGTAACTTCCTTCTAACTTAAGTGCCCTGCTGCAGAGGCGTTAAATGTGGTGATAATTGTGGTGGTGTGGCTACTACTCTTACTATGTTTGAGGAACGTGATAAAAAGAAAAGTCTTGTGGTTTCTTATTGCATCAAGGTGCAGTTTTAAGAAAGATGATCCCCATCTTGCAGCAGTTGTCTCATTTAGCTACAGCACTTCACAGCTGCAGCAGAATAAGCAACATCATCTCTGTGAAGGATATTTATTCTTACATTCTTTGTGATGAACGGTAAGCTGTGGGAGGGAGAGTGTAACTTTCTAAAGGCTGTAGTTAGTAAATTCCACTACTAAGACTGTAACTTGGAAAATCCTCACTCTGAATCTTGTAGGACAGATACTTGAGCATGTTTCCTTAGCAGTGGTTACCTTAACCTGCTTCATTCAGTTCATGTGAATAAAGAGAACGTTGTGAGACACAGCTGCTCCCAGAAATTACCTACATTCAAAATTGCACATATTTGTAATACCTTGGGTAATTTACTTGTCTAAAACAGTGGCCTGTCCTTTATTAATTTTTTTGTTTGGTTTTTTGAGATCTCTTTCCTACAAAATATACTAATGGCAAATGGTGTCTGCAGTTTGAGTGGTAGTAAGATATATTCTTACCTCTTTGGCTTCATTCTGCATTTTCATATTTTCTGCAATGTATTTAACACTTTCAATAGCATCTCTCATTTCTGGTGACAGAACTGAAAATGAAAACAGAGGATCTACAGACTCAGAACTTGAACTTCTTGTGAGATTGCCACTGAAATCAGAGAACTTCATCCGTTGGTACTGACAGCAGCTGCATGCCATATCTTGACACACAAAGCCATCTTTGCAACATTTGGTGTCAGAACTGTTGAAGCAATTCAAGTTTGAAAACTCAGAAGTGAAAAATGGTTTTGGCTTCTGATTATTCTCTTCATCACTGGCAGGTCTTGTCATAAACATGATCCTGGGAAGTAAGTTCAAGAAAATGGTTCTCACCCACACAGGCATTGTGTGTGTCTTGGGTGTTCTGTAGTGCACGTTAAGTACAAACACAGTAATGACAATAGATAGAGTTACAAATATCATGGTGAAAAGGAGGTATTCCCCAATAAGTGGAATCACCAGGGAAGTAGAAGGTATGGTTTCTGTGATAACAAGAAGGAACACTGTTAAGGATAGAAGGACTGATATGCAGAGTGTTACCTTCTCGCCACAGTCTGAAGGCAAATAGAAAACTAACACAGTCAGAAAAGAAATCAGCAGACATGGAATAATCATATTGATAGTGTAAAATAAAGGTAAACGCCTAATGTAAAGAGAATATGTGATGTCTGGGTATATCTCTTCACAGCAGTTGTATTTGATGTCATGTTTATACCCAGGAGCTTTAATAATAGCCCATTCTCCGCTCTCCCAGTAATCTTTTAGGTTCATTGTAGAGCCAATTAAAACTAAGTCAATTTTGGCTTTATCATAAGACCAGGAACCAAACTTCATGGTGCAGTTCTGGTAGTCAAATGGGAAGTAGGTTACATCTATTTTACATGAGCTTTTAAATATAGCTGGAGGTATCCATGTCACATCACCCGTGTATTTTAATAGAGCCTTGGTCTTGTCATCAACCTGGAAATCCCCAACTGCACTGTAAAGCAAATAAGAGTAACAAAAATTAGAATGCAACTACTCTGGGTAGTTCCATACATTCAGATTATGTACATTAACTCTTTAATCTGTTTTTGGAAAGTTGGCAATTACATGTTGACTTGGAGCTGAATTGCACATGCAGGACTGAGTGGCTGTCATAAATTTGCATAGTTAAATAAGCAGCTATGTAAATTGACCATGGAGGATTTGAAAGGAAGGCTCAGTGCAATCCATATTCCAAGCAGCAAACAGGAGAGGGCAGATTGCAGCCTGACTAGATGACTATTGTAGGTCCCTTCCAACAGAGCTACTTTGTTTTATTCTGTTCTAGATCAAGCTCATCAGAACCCAAGGGCTGATCAAGAGGATACCTGCAGTACGGGTATTGGGCAGTGCAGGTAGTAACTATGGAATGAGGGATTAGGGTGCATATTTGTGTCAGGAGTGTGTTTTGGGAGGGTTTTTTGAAGCCCTATTTTGCTGTCCTGATCACAGGAATCGTAAAAGATCCATGTGACAATTTCAGTTGTTTATCTGAAAGACTAAAAAAGTAATGTAAAGATTGAAGGCCACATTTAAAAAAGGAGTGTCTTGTTCCACAGACCTAAGTTTTGGATCTGTATGGCTAAGTCCATTTCACTGGTAACTGCTTCCTTACATGGCAGAGGGATCCATGTAGTTATGATTTTACTTCTCTTAGTCTCTGACATCCCAAGTAAACTTTGCCTGTGGCTTTTCTAGATCACCACTATTATTGTAAAAGGTGTCAAAGGGTGAGTTTCACTGCTTAAAAAGCTAGAATTTTCAGGGTTTTTCTCATTTCTTGTCTCACAGAAAAGACCTGTCCAGCCTAAGGGAATTTCTTGCCACCTCCCTTGTAGACAGCGATAAAAATTATAGGAAAAGTGGGGCCTTGTGAAGGAGAAAAGCAGAGTTCACTTCGGCCTGACCACTTGCAGCTCCAGGTTAGGAGCTGGCTCCTGCCCAGGGATGGCAGGGAGGTGAGTGCACAGCAGGGAGATGGGGACACAGATCTAAAAACAAGCTTTTTCAGTTAATTCAGTTAACCTGCTGCTGATTTTTTTTAAAGTAGTAACATCACCCCTCTTCTTCCTGAATTAAGAAGATAAATATGGAAGTCTTACTTGTTATATAAAACAATATCTGGCTTCCAGATCTGGCCAGATGGTACTCGGATGAATTCAGCACCTCCATAGTCTGCTGGATTCCACCGAAGCTTGTAATCATTCCAGATCTATTTTTGGAATAAATGAGTGTGTTAGGTTTGTGGAGAGATGGAAATTCAGTGGACTAGGCTCAAACCAAGCGCTGCTGTGTTACTTCTAGAGTTGTTTTATTTTGGATGCTGCAGTGATTAGAGATTTCCTTACACAGACATGGTGACTGTGGGTCTAGACAGGGCTGTAATGTGTGTGACTCCATGTCCCAGGAAATGTGTACTCAGTAACTGAAACAAAGTGAAAGAGGGAATAAGACACTCTCTTGTCAGGGAGTGTAGGACTTTTAATAGTGTCTTAGGTCTCAAAGGGCTGGGTGTCTCTGAGATGGTTAAACAAGTTCTTAAGAGGCTCTGGTGCTGAGTGTGAGCATCGTGTGGAGGACACGGGGTGGACGGGCTGGAAGGAGCTGCAGGTGTCACTGCTCCTTCGGCAACAGCCTTGTTAAGCCCCAATTTAACAGAATTGAGTATTAAGCTGAAGCCTGGAACACCATTGGTTATTAAGCTACTGCCAACAGGTTTAACCCATAGAGCATCTGAAGTGATGGTTTGTTCTCCCTTTCGGGGAGCCAAACACCACCCGGTGATGCTGAGGTGCTGCCCTGGGG